AAGAACAAGAGAAGGAACAAACACAAAGGTAGAAATAAAGATAGAAAGACAAAAAACACACACACACATTCACGGCATCCCGTCTTTGCCGCACCCCTTACAGACTTGTTAGAGTCCTAGACCCCCCATACATAGCCGCTCATGGCGGTCCACCCCAAGAACAAGACAAGGAACAAACACAAAGGTAGAAATAAAGATAGAAAAAAAAAAAAAAAAACACACACACACATTAACGGCATCCCGTCTTTGCCGCTCATGGCGGTCCTACCCAAGAAAAGGAACAAACACAAAGGTAGAAATAAAGATAGAAAGAAAAAGAAAAAAAAACACACACACAGATTCCACAGCATCCCGTCTTTGCCGCACCCCCTAGAGTCCTAGACCCGCAATCCATAGCCGCTCATGGCGGTCCACCCCTAGAACGAGACAAGGAACAAACATAAAGGTAGAAATAGAGGTAGACAAGGAACAGCATCCCGTCTTCGCAACCCCCTGGAGTCCGAGACCCCCCATGCATTGCCGCTCATGGTGGTCCATCCATCATTAAGGAAGAAATAAAGATAGAAAAGAAAAGAAAAAAAAAAACAGACATTCCACGGCATCCCGTCTTTGCCGCAGCCATACAACAGTTTCCCCTAGACTCGCATGCATTGCCGCTCATGGCGGTTCACCCATCATTAAAAAAGAAAGAAGAAGAAAAAAAAAAAAAAAAACCATTCCACAGCATCCCGTCTTTGCCGCGCGGCACCGCACCCATATAAGTTGATACAACTGTTTCCCCCTAGACCCCCCAATGGCCCCATGCATTGCCGGCAATTTGCCGCTCGCGGCGGTTCACCCGTCATCATTAATAAAGAAAGAAGGAAAAAAAAAAACAAAAAAAAAAAAACATACATATATTACACGGCATCGCGTCCTTACCGCACCCACACAACCCTTTCCCCCCTAACACCCCCAATTCATTGCCGGCGCCGCTCATGGCGGTTCACCCGTCATTAAGGGAAAAAAAAAAAAAAAAAAAACCGCATCCCACGGCGGCCCGTCGTTGCCGCATTTCCATTTATTTAT